AGGAAAGAGCCTGTCTTGCGCCTCAAACGCCTGTCTTCTGCCTCAAAACTTGCTCCATCCAGACACTGCTCAAGATCTGCTGGCAACAAAGAGAAAGTTGACCATCTGCCACTAGTTTCATCCTGCATGTCACAGTCTGCCTCTGCAACCTTGCATGCAGCTGGCATGGAGACTCCTGTCTTCTGCCTCAAAACATGTTCCATCCGGATAGTGGAGTCTGCTACTAGCAACAAGGGCAAAAATTTAACAATGTACTACTCGTTTCATGCTGTGACAGCTCTGGGCTCACTGCAGGCTCACCTTCTCCACAAAGTACCGCTGGTTGCTGGGCTCTTCTGCTGTGTGGATGGGAAAGGGTTTTTGATCTCTTTGTCAAGCCAAAGGGCACAGGGGAAATGGCTACTGTAGCCAAAGGCTCAGTGATTACTCAGCACATCAGAAAGCTGCTAGACAAGTGTGAAGTGAAATCAGCAAGCACTGGTTCAGAACATGAGGGCATGAGAGCATGAGGCAAAATGGTTGGAATGTGCAAGTTGACAAACGCTTCCTGACCTGAGGTTAGCATTTCCTCGTGCATCTTGGCAAGAACCACTGTGCTAGTACTCAATTGTGTGCACTGATCATCCCCTTGGAGTTGGGGGGAGCAAATGAAAGCGATGTGGAGAATGCGGGCATCGATCCCGCTACCTCTCGCATGCTAAGCGAGCGCTCTACCATTTGAGCTAATTCCCCTCTCCATACGCTTTCGCCAGGCCTCGTGCAAGAAGACCCGAAAAGCTGCAACCCTGCCTGCTTTGGGCCCAAGCGGCAGCCGATCTGATGTGTTGAAAGGGCAGCCGTAAAGACGAGGTGGCCGAGTGGTTAAGGCGATGGACTGCTAATCCATTGTGCTCTGCACGCGTGGGTTCGAATCCCATCCTCGTCGCAATCACCTGCTATTTAATGCCCGCTTTCCAGCCAAGCCACATGCTCACTGACCACGGCGCCTACCTGATGCACGTCACATACTGCCTCTGCAACTTTGAATGCAGCTGCTACAGGAAAGAGCCTGTCTTGCGCCTCAAACGCCTGTCTTCTGCCTCAAAACTTGCTCCATCCAGACACTGCTCAAGATCTGCTGGCAACAAAGAGAAAGTTGACCATCTGCCACTAGTTTCATCCTGCATGTCACAGTCTGCCTCTGCAACCTTGCATGCAGCTGGCATGGAGACTCCTGTCTTCTGCCTCAAAACATGTTCCATCCGGATAGTGGAGTCTGCTACTAGCAACAAGGGCAAAAATTTAACAATGTACTACTCGTTTCATGCTGTGACAGCTCTGGGCTCACTGCAGGCTCACCTTCTCCACAAAGTACCGCTGGTTGCTGGGCTCTTCTGCTGTGTGGATGGGAAAGGGTTTTTGATCTCTTTGTCAAGCCAAAGGGCACAGGGGAAATGGCTACTGTAGCCAAAGGCTCAGTGATTACTCAGCACATCAGAAAGCTGCTAGACAAGTGTGAAGTGAAATCAGCAAGCACTGGTTCAGAACATGAGGGCATGAGAGCATGAGGCAAAATGGTTGGAATGTGCAAGTTGACAAACGCTTCCTGACCTGAGGTTAGCATTTCCTCGTGCATCTTGGCAAGAACCACTGTGCTAGTACTCAATTGTGTGCACTGATCATCCCCTTGGAGTTGGGGGAGCAAATGAAAGCGATGTGGAGAATGCGGGCATCGATCCCGCTACCTCTCGCATGCTAAGCGAGCGCTCTACCATTTGAGCTAATTCCCCTCTCCATACGCTTTCGCCAGGCCTCGTGCAAGAAGACCCGAAAAGCTGCAACCCTGCCTGCTTTGGGCCCAAGCGGCAGCCGATCTGATGTGTTGAAAGGGCAGCCGTAAAGACGAGGTGGCCGAGTGCTTAAGGCGATAGACTGCTAATCCATAGTGCTCTGCACGCGTGGGTTCGAATCCCATCCTCGTCGCAATCACCTGCTATTTAATGCCCGCTTTCCAGCCAAGCCACATGCTCACTGACCACGGCGCCTACCTGATGCACGTCACATACTGCCTCTGCAACTTTGAATGCAGCTGCTACAGGAAAGAGCCTGTCTTGCGCCTCAAACGCCTGTCTTCTGCCTCAAAACTTGCTCCATCCAGACACTGCTCAAGATCTGCTGGCAACAAAGAGAAAGTTGACCATCTGCCACTAGTTTCATCCTGCATGTCACAGTCTGCCTCTGCAACCTTGCATGCAGCTGGCATGGAGACTCCTGTCTTCTGCCTCAAAACATGTTCCATCCGGATAGTGGAGTCTGCTACTAGCAACAAGGGCAAAAATTTAACAATGTACTACTCGTTTCATGCTGTGACAGCTCTGGGCTCACTGCAGGCTCACCTTCTCCACAAAGTACCGCTGGTTGCTGGGCTCTTCTGCTGTGTGGATGGGAAAGGGTTTTTGATCTCTTTGTCAAGCCAAAGGGCACAGGGGAAATGGCTACTGTAGCCAAAGGCTCAGTGATTACTCAGCACATCAGAAAGCTGCTAGACAAGTGTGAAGTGAAATCAGCAAGCACTGGTTCAGAACATGAGGGCATGAGAGCATGAGGCAAAATGGTTGGAATGTGCAAGTTGACAAACGCTTCCTGACCTGAGGTTAGCATTTCCTCGTGCATCTTGGCAAGAACCACTGTGCTAGTACTCAATTGTGTGCACTGATCATCCCCTTGGAGTTGGGGGGAGCAAATGAAAGCGATGTGGAGAATGCGGGCATCGATCCCGCTACCTCTCGCATGCTAAGCGAGCGCTCTACCATTTGAGCTAATTCCCCTCTCCATACGCTTTCGCCAGGCCTCGTGCAAGAAGACCCGAAAAGCTGCAACCCTGCCTGCTTTGGGCCCAAGCGGCAGCCGATCTGATGTGTTGAAACGGCAGTCGTAAAGACGAGGTGGCCGAGTGGTTAAGGCGATGGACTGCTAATCCATTGTGCTCTGCACGCGTGGGTTCGAATCCCATCCTCGTCGCAATCACCTGCTATTTAATGCCCGCTTTCCAGCCAAGCCACATGCTCACTGACCACGGCGCCTACCTGATGCACGTCACATACTGCCTCTGCAACTTTGAATGCAGCTGCTACAGGAAAGAGCCTGTCTTGCGCCTCAAACGCCTGTCTTCTGCCTCAAAACTTGCTCCATCCAGACACTGCTCAAGATCTGCTGGCAACAAAGAGAAAGTTGACCATCTGCCACTAGTTTCATCCTGCATGTCACAGTCTGCCTCTGCAACCTTGCATGCAGCTGGCATGGAGACTCCTGTCTTCTGCCTCAAAACATGTTCCTTCCAGATAGTGGAGTCTGCTACTAGCAACAAGGGCAAAAATTTAACAATGTACTACTCGTTTCATGCTGTGACAGCTCTGGGCTCACTGCAGGCTCACCTTCTCCACAAAGTACCGCTGGTTGCTGGGCTCTTCTGCTGTGTGGATGGGAAAGGGTTTTTGATCTCTTTGTCAAGCCAAAGGGCACAGGGGAAATGGCTACTGTAGCCAAAGGCTCAGTGATTACTCAGCACATCAGAAAGCTGCTAGACAAGTGTGAAGTGAAATCAGCAAGCACTGGTTCAGAACATGAGGGCATGAGAGCATGAGGCAAAATGGTTGGAATGTGCAAGTTGACAAACGCTTCCTGACCTGAGGTTAGCATTTCCTCGTGCATCTTGGCAAGAACCACTGTGCTAGTACTCAATTGTGTGCACTGATCATCCCCTTGGAGTTGGGGGGAGCAAATGAAAGCGATGTGGAGAATGCGGGCATCGATCCCGCTACCTCTCGCATGCTAAGCGAGCGCTCTACCATTTGAGCTAATTCCCCTCTCCATACGCTTTCGCCAGGCCTCGTGCAAGAAGACCCGAAAAGCTGCAACCCTGCCTGCTTTGGGCCCAAGCGGCAGCCAATCTGATGTGTTGAAAGGGCAGCCGTAAAGACGAGGTGGCCGAGTGGTTAAGGCGATGGACTGCTAATCCATTGTGCTCTGCACGCGTGGGTTCGAATCCCATCCTCGTCGCAATCACCTGCTATTTAATGCCCGCTTTCCAGCCAAGCCACATGCTCACTGACCACGGCGCCTACCTGATGCACGTCACATACTGCCTCTGCAACTTTGAATGCAGCTGCTACAGGAAAGAGCCTGTCTTGCGCCTCAAACGCCTGTCTTCTGCCTCAAAACTTGCTCCATCCAGACACTGCTCAAGATCTGCTGGCAACAAAGAGAAAGTTGACCATCTGCAACTAGTTTCATCCTGCATGTCACAGTCTGCCTCTGCAACCTTGCATGCAGCTGGCATGGAGACTCCTGTCTTCTGCCTCAAAACATGTTCCATCCAGATAGTGGAGTCTGCTACTAGCAACAAGGGCAAAAATTTAACAATGTACTACTCGTTTCATGCTGTGACAGCTCTGGGCTCACTGCAGGCTCACCTTCTCCACAAAGTACCGCTGGTTGCTGGGCTCTTCTGCTGTGTGGATGGGAAAGGGTTTTTGATCTCTTTGTCAAGCCAAAGGGCACAGGGGAAATGGCTACTGTAGCCAAAGGCTCAGTGATTACTCAGCACATCAGAAAGCTGCTAGACAAGTGTGAAGTGAAATCAGCAAGCACTGGTTCAGAACATGAGGGCATGAGAGCATGAGGCAAAATGGTTGGAATGTGCAAGTTGACAAACGCTTCCTGACCTGAGGTTAGCATTTCCTCGTGCATCTTGGCAAGAACCACTGTGCTAGTACTCAATTGTGTGCACTGATCATCCCCTTGGAGTTGGGGGGAGCAAATGAAAGCGATGTGGAGAATGCGGGCATCGATCCCGCTACCTCTCGCATGCTAAGCGAGCGCTCTACCATTTGAGCTAATTCCCCTCTCCATACGCTTTCGCCAGGCCTCGTGCAAGAAGACCCGAAAAGCTGCAACCCTGCCTGCTTTGGGCCCAAGCGGCAGCCAATCTGATGTGTTGAAAGGGCAGCCGTAAAGACGAGATGGCCGAGTGGTTAAGGCGATGGACTGCTAATCCATTGTGCTCTGCACGCGTGGGTTCGAATCCCATCCTCGTCGCAATCACCTGCTATTTAATGCCCGCTTTCCAGCCAAGCCACATGCTCACTGACCACGGCGCCTACCTGATGCACGTCACATACTGCCTCTGCAACTTTGAATGCAGCTGCTACAGGAAAGAGCCTGTCTTGCGCCTCAAACGCCTGTCTTCTGCCTCAAAACTTGCTCCATCCAGACACTGCTCAAGATCTGCTGGCAACAAAGAGAAAGTTGACCATCTGCCACTAGTTTCATCCTGCATGTCACAGTCTGCCTCTGCAACCTTGCATGCAGCTGGCATGGAGACTCCTGTCTTCTGCCTCAAAACATGTTCCATCCAGATAGTGGAGTCTGCTACTAGCAACAAGGGCAAAAATTTAACAATGTACTACTCGTTTCATGCTGTGACAGCTCTGGGCTCACTGCAGGCTCACCTTCTCCACAAAGTACCGCTGGTTGCTGGGCTCTTCTGCTGTGTGGATGGGAAAGGGTTTTTGATCTCTTTGTCAAGCCAAAGGGCACAGGGGAAATGGCTACTGTAGCCAAAGGCTCAGTGATTACTCAGCACATCAGAAAGCTGCTAGACAAGTGTGAAGTGAAATCAGCAAGCACTGGTTCAGAACTCAAGTAAGCATGAGGCAAAATGGTTGGAATGTGCAAGTTGACAAACACTTCCTGACCTGAGGTTAGCATTTCCTCGTGCATCTTGGCAAGAACCACTGTGCTAGTACTCAATTGTGTGCACTGATCATCCCCTTGGAGTTGGGGGGAGCAAATGAAAGCGATGTGGAGAATGCGGGCATCGATCCCGCTACCTCTCGCATGCTAAGCGAGCGCTCTACCATTTGAGCTAATTCCCCTCTCCATACGCTGTCGCCAGGCCTCGTGCAAGAAGACCCGAAAAGCTGCAACCCTGCCTGCTTTCGGCCCAAGCGGCAGCCGATCTGATGTGTTGAAAGGGCAGCCGTAAAGACGAGGTGGCCGAGTGGTTAAGGCGATGGACTGCTAATCCATTGTGCTCTGCACGCGTGGGTTCGAATCCCATCCTCGTCGCAATCACCTGCTATTTAATGCCCGCTTTCCAGCCAAGCCACATGCTCACTGACCACGGCGCCTACCTGATGCACGTCACATGCTGCCTCTGCAACTTTGAATGCAGCTGCTACAGGAAAGAGCCTGTCTTGCGCCTCAAACGCCTGTCTTCTGCCTCAAAACTTGCTCCATCCAGACACTGCTCAAGATCTGCTGGCAACAAAGAGAAAGTTGACCATCTGCCACTAGTTTCATCCTGCATGTCACAGTCTGCCTCTGCAACCTTGCATGCAGCTGGCATGGAGACTCCTGTCTTCTGCCTCAAAACATGTTCCATCCAGATAGTGGAGTCTGCTACTAGCAACAAGGGCAAAAATTTAACAATGTACTACTCGTTTCATGCTGTGACAGCTCTGGGCTCACTGCAGGCTCACCTTCTCCACAAAGTACCGCTGGTTGCTGGGCTCTTCTGCTGTGTGGATGGGAAAGGGTTTTTGATCTCTTTGTCAAGCCAAAGGGCACAGGGGAAATGGCTACTGTAGCCAAAGGCTCAGTGATTACTCAGCACATCAGAAAGCTGCTAGACAAGTGTGAAGTGAAATCAGCAAGCACTGGTTCAGAACTCAAGTAAGCATGAGGCAAAATGGTTGGAACGTGCAAGTTGACAAACACTTCCTGACCTGAGGTTAGCATTTCCTCGTGCATCTTGGCAAGAACCACTGTGCTAGTACTCAATTGTGTGCACTGATCATCCCCTTGGAGTTGGGGGGAGCAAATGAAAGCGATGTGGAGAATGCGGGCATCGATCCCGCTACCTCTCGCATGCTAAGCGAGCGCTCTACCATTTGAGCTAATTCCCCTCTCCATACGCTTTCGCCAGGCCTCGTGCAAGAAGACCCGAAAAGCTGCAACCCTGCCTGCTTTGGGCCCAAGCGGCAGCCGATCTGATGTGTTGAAAGGGCAGCCGTGAAGACGAGGTGGCCGAGTGGTTAAGGCGATGGACTGCTAATCCATTGTGCTCTGCACGCGTGGGTTCGAATCCCATCCTCGTCGCAATCACCTGCTATTTAATGCCCGCTTTCCAGCCAAGCCACATGCTCACTGACCACGGCGCCTACCTGATGCACGTCACATACTGCCTCTGCAACTTTGAATGCAGCTGCTACAGGAAAGAGCCTGTCTTGCGCCTCAAACGCCTGTCTTCTGCCTCAAAACTTGCTCCATCCAGACACTGCTCAAGATCTGCTGGCAACAAAGAGAAAGTTGACCATCTGCCACTAGTTTCATCCTGCATGTCACAGTCTGCCTCTGCAACCTTGCATGCAGCTGGCATGGAGACTCCTGTCTTCTGCCTCAAAACATGTTCCATCCAGATAGTGGAGTCTGCTACTAGCAACAAGGGCAAAAATTTAACAATGTACTACTCATTTCATGCTGTGACAGCTCTGGGCTCACTGCAGGCTCACCTTCTCCACAAAGTACCGCTGGTTGCTGGGCTCTTCTGCTGTGTGGATGGGAAAGGGTTTTTGATCTCTTTGTCAAGCCAAAGGGCACAGGGGAAATGGCTACTGTAGCCAAAGGCTCAGTGATTACTCAGCACATCAGAAAGCTGCTAGACAAGTGTGAAGTGAAATCAGCAAGCACTGGTTCAGAACTCAAGTAAGCATGAGGCAAAATGGTTGGAATGTGCAAGTTGACAAACGCTTCCTGACCTAAGGTTAGCATTTCCTCGTGCATCTTGGCAAGAACCACTGTGCTAGTACTGAATTGTGTGCACTGATCATCCCCTTGGAGTTGGGGGGAGCAAATGAAAGCGATGTGGAGAATGCGGGCATCGATCGCGCTACCTCTCGCATGCTAAGCGAGCGCTCTACCATTTGAGCTAATTCCCCTCTCCATACGCTGTCGCCAGGCCTCGTGCAAGAAGACCCGAAAAGCTGCAACCCTGCCTGCTTTGGGCCCAAGCGGCAGCCGATCTGATGTGTTGAAACGGCAGCCGTAAAGACGAGGTGGCCGAGTGGTTAAGGCGATGGACTGCTAATCCATTGTGCTCTGCACGCGTGGGTTCGAATCCCATCCTCGTCGCAATCACCTGCTATTTAATGCCCGCTTTCCAGCCAAGCCACATGCTCACTGACCACGGCGCCTACCTGATGCACGTCACATACTGCCTCTGCAACTTTGAATGCAGCTGCTACAGGAAAGAGCCTGTCTTGCGCCTCAAACGCCTGTCTTCTGCCTCAAAACTTGCTCCATCCAGACACTGCTCAAGATCTGCTGGCAACAAAGAGAAAGTTGACCATCTGCCACTAGTTTCATCCTGCATGTCACAGTCTGCCTCTGCAACCTTGCATGCAGCTGGCATGGAGACTCCTGTCTTCTGCCTCAAAACATGTTCCATCCAGATAGTGGAGTCTGCTACTAGCAACAAGGGCAAAAATTTAACAATGTACTACTCATTTCATGCTGTGACAGCTCTGGGCTCACTGCAGGCTCACCTTCTCCACAAAGTACCGCTGGTTGCTGGGCTCTTCTGCTGTGTGGATGGGAAAGGGTTTTTGATCTCTTTGTCAAGCCAAAGGGCACAGGGGAAATGGCTACTGTAGCCAAAGGCTCAGTGATTACTCAGCACATCAGAAAGCTGCTAGACAAGTGTGAAGTGAAATCAGCAAGCACTGGTTCAGAACTCAAGTAAGCATGAGGCAAAATGGTTGGAATGTGCAAGTTGACAAACGCTTCCTGACCTAAGGTTAGCATTTCCTCGTGCATCTTGGCAAGAACCACTGTGCTAGTACTGAATTGTGTGCACTGATCATCCCCTTGGAGTTGGGGGGAGCAAATGAAAGCGATGTGGAGAATGCGGGCATCGATCCCGCTACCTCTCGCATGCTAAGCGAACACTCTACCATTTGAGCTAATTCCCCTCTCCATACGCTGTCGCCAGGCCTCGTGCAAGAAGACCCGAAAAGCTGCAACCCTGTCTGCTTTGGGCCCAAGCGGCAGCCGATCTGATGTGTTGAAAGGGCAGCTGTAAAGATGAGGTGGCCGAGTGGTTAAGGCGATGGACTGCTAATCCATTGTGCTCTGCACGCGTGGGTTCGAATCCCATCCTCGTCGCAATCACCTGCTATTTAATGCCCGCTTTCCAGCCAAGCCACATGCTCACTGACCACGGCGCCTACCTGATGCACGTCACATACTGCCTCTGCAACTTTGAATGCAGCTGCTACAGGAAAGAGCCTGTCTTGCGCCTCAAACGCCTGTCTTCTGCCTCAAAACTTGCTCCATCCAGACACTGCTCAAGATCTGCTGGCAACAAAGAGAAAGTTGACCATCTGCCACTAGTTTCATCCTGCATGTCACAGTCTGCCTCTGCAACCTTGCATGCAGCTGGCATGGAGACTCCTGTCTTCTGCCTCAAAACATGTTCCATCCAGATAGTGGAGTCTGCTACTAGCAACAAGGGCAAAAATTTAACAATGTACTACTCGTTTCATGCTGTGACAGCTCTGGGCTCACTGCAGGCTCACCTTCTCCACAAAGTACCGCTGGTTGCTGGGCTCTTCTGCTGTGTGGATGGGAAAGGGTTTTTGATCTCTTTGTCAAGCCAAAGGGCACAGGGGAAATGGCTACTGTAGCCAAAGGCTCAGTGATTACTCAGCACATCAGAAAGCTGCTAGACAAGTGTGAAGTGAAATCAGCAAGCACTGGTTCAGAACATGAGGGCATGAGAGCATGAGGCAAAATGGTTGGAATGTGCAAGTTGACAAACGCTTCCTGACCTGAGGTTAGCATTTCCTCGTGCATCTTGGCAAGAACCACTGTGCTAGTACTCAATTGTGTGCACTGATCATCCCCTTGGAGTTGGGGGAGCAAATGAAAGCGATGTGGAGAATGCGGGCATCGATCCCGCTACCTCTCGCATGCTAAGCGAGCGCTCTACCATTTGAGCTAATTCCCCTCTCCATACGCTTTCGCCAGGCCTCGTGCAAGAAGACCCGAAAAGCTGCAACACTGCCTGCTTTGGGCCCAAGCGGCAGCCGATCTGATGTGTTGAAAGGGCAGCCATGAAGACGAGGTGGCCGAGTGCTTAAGGCGATAGACTGCTAATCCATTGTGCTCTGCACGCGTGGGTTCGAATCCCATCCTCGTCGCAATCACCTGCTATTTAATGCCCGCTTTCCAGCCAAGCCACATGCTCACTGACCACGGCGCCTACCTGATGCACGTCACATACTGCCTCTGCAACTTTGAATGCAGCTGCTACAGGAAAGAGCCTGTCTTGCGCCTCAAACGCCTGTCTTCTGCCTCAAAACTTGCTCCATCCAGACACTGCTCAAGATCTGCTGGCAACAAAGAGAAAGTTGACCATCTGCCACTAGTTTCATCCTGCATGTCACAGTCTGCCTCTGCAACCTTGCATGCAGCTGGCATGGAGACTCCTGTCTTCTGCCTCAAAACATGTTCCATCCAGATAGTGGAGTCTGCTACTAGCAACAAGGGCAAAAAT